TGAGGGCTTCCCAGGTGGCTCAGTGGTAAACTGCTAATGCAAGAGACACAGGTGGGAAGATCCCCTGGAGTGGGAAACCTAATCCAGTATTCTTGCCTGAAAAATTCTGTGGATAGCGGAGCCAGGGGCTACAGCACATGGGGTCACAAAGAGTCCACAGGTCTGAGTGACTGAGCATGCAAGACACAGAGATCTGTGAGGTTCAAGTCTTGCCCATTTTCTATTGGTTTATCTGTCTTTGTTTACCTATTAATCTATAGTTCTTTATAGAGTTTATCAGAAGTCAAAGGCTTTTCTGAAAAGGACCAGACAGTGAGAACCTTTGGCTCTGTGGGCCTACTCAAATCCTCCACTATAGCATGAAAGCAGCCATAGTCAATACACGAGTATGCCTTTGTGCCAGTAAAATTTTATTTATGGACAGTATAATCTGAATTTCATAAAATTTTATGTATCATTAAATATTATTCTTCGGATATTTTTCAACCATTTAAAACCATATAAAATGTTTTTAGATCACAGATTATATAAAATAAATGGAAAAAAAAAAATAAGGAGTTAGCAGATGTGGTCCATAGTAGTTTGCTGACTCCTGGTCTAAATAAAGATATTGTCAATTTATATATAAGTCTTCTCAGGGGGTTATCAACGTTGTTATGCTTTATAAGCACCAACTTTTGCCTTTGTGGAAACACCTTATTTTGAATGTCTGCTTTCTATTTCATTAATTTTTGTTCTTATGATTACTTTCTTTTTTCTGTTTTCTTTGGGTTGTATTTGCTATTCTTTTCTCTTTTAGCTTTTTTTGAGATAGATACTTATTTACGCATGCATTCTATTAAAATACAGCTGATTTACAATGTTGTATTAGTTTCTGGTGTACAGCAAAGTGATTCAGTTATATATATATATACTTTTTCATATTTTCTTCCCTATGGTTTATTACAAGATATTGAATATAGTTCCCTGTGTTATACAGTAAGACCCTGTTTTTTTTTTTTTTTGACCCTGTTGTTTTATGTATAGTACGTTTGTATCTGCTAATGCCAAACTCCTAATTTATCATTCACCCCTCCTTTCTCCTTTTATAACCATACATTTGTTTTCTGTATCTGTTGAGTCTTTTGTAAGTTCATTTTTATCACTTTAGCTTCCACATATAAATGATATATGATATCTGTCTTTCTCTAATTTCATTGTGTACGGTAACCTCTAGGTCTATCCGTGTTGCTGCAAATGGTATTTCATACTTTATGGCTGAGTACCATTCCATTGTGTGAATATGTGTATACATATACACATACATATTAATACATATACATATCACATCTTTTTTATCCATTCATTGAGATGAATATTTAAATCACTAAACTTTCAGTCTTCCCTTCTAATATATGTACTAAGTAAGAGCTTCATAGGTGGCTCAGTAGTAAAAGAATCTGCCTGCCAAAGCAGGAGACACAAGAGACGTGGGTTGGATCTCTGGGTCCGGAAGATCCCCTGGAGTAGGAAATGGCAACCTGTTCTAGTATTCTTGCCTGGAAAATTCCATGGACAGAGGAGCCTGGCCGGCTACAGTCCATGAGGTCATAAAGCATAGAACACAACTGAACACACACAAGACTATACACTTCCTCTAAGCATCCCCTGCGTGCTACATACTTAGTTGCTTCAGGTGTGTCCAACACTTTGCAACGCTATGGTTGGTAGCCCGCCAGTCCATGGGGTTCTCCTGGCAAGAATACTGGAGTGGGTTGCCATGCACTCCTCCAGGGGATCTTATTGACCCAGGGCTTAAACCCAGGTCTCCCACATTGCAGGCAAATTCTTTACTGTCTGAGCCACCAGGGAAGCCCCGAGTTCTGTCACTGATTTCAACCTTAATTCCACAGAGGTCAAATCCATAGAATTTCAATTTTCATAAATTTGTTAAGATTTGTTCTATGGTCAGTATATAGCACATTTTAATAACAGTTTCATAGGTACTTATAAAAATAGTTTATTCATTTGTTTGGTGTAATATTTTTAAAATGTCAAGTCAACTTTGTTAATTGTGTTGTTCAGTTTTATATGATGACGGTTTGCAGTTTTTGTTTGTATTTACTTGCTTTGTTCTACATATCCTATCTACTATGGAAGTGTATTAAAATCTACCACTTGGGACTGTGGGTTTTAGTCTACTTCTTGTAGTTCTATCAGTTTCTGCCTCTCCTGTTTTGAGATTATGTTATGAGGAAATACATATTTGGGCTTCCTGGTGACTCAAACAGTAAAAAGTCGCCTGCAATGCAGGACACCTGCCTGGTTTCAATCCCTGTGTCGGGAAGATACCCTGGAGAAGAAAATGGCAACCCACTCCAGTATTCTTGCCTGGACATGACCCTAATGGCAGAAAGTGAAGAGAAACTAAAGAACCTCTTGATGAAGGTGAAAGAGGACAGTGGAAAAGCTGACTTAAAAATCAACATTTAAAAATTAAGATCATGGCATCTGGTCTCATCACTTCATAGCGAATAGATGGGGAAAAAGTGGACACAGTGACAGATTTTATTTTCTTGGGCTCCAAAATAACTGCTGATGGTGACTGTAGCCATGAAATGAAAAGACACCCTGCTGCTTGGAAGAAAAGCTGTGACAAACCTAGACAGCATATTAAAAAGCAAAGACATCACTTTGCCAACAAAGGTCTGTCTAGTCAAAGCTGTGGTTTTTCCAGTAGTCATGTACAGGATGTCAGGGTTGGATCATAAAAAAGGATGAGTGCCAAAGAATTGATGCTTTTGAACTGTGGTGCTAGAGAAGACTCTTGAGAGTTCCTTGGACAGCAAGGAGATCAAATCAGTCCATCCTAAAGGAAATCAACCCTGAATATTCTTTGGAAGGACTGATGCTGAAGTTGAAGCTGCAATATTTTGGCCACCTAATGCAAAGAGCCAACTCACTGGAAAAAGACCCTGATGTTGTGACATTGAGGTCAGGAGGAGAAGGGGGTGACAAAGGATGAGATGGTTGGATGGCATCATTGACTCAATGAACATGAGTTTTAACAAACTCTGGGAGATAGTGCAGGACAGAGAAGCTGGGCATGCTGCAGTCTGTGGGGTCACAGAGAGTTGGCCATGACTGAGCAACTGAACAACAACAATACATATTTAGAATCACTTTATTTTCCTTCTATATTAACTCTTAATAATATGAAAAGTCTACCATTTCACTGTTCGCTTTCTCTTAGTCTACCTTATTCTATGTTCCTTTTCCTTTCTTTTCTTACCTTCTGGAGAACTTTTTATTTTTACTTTCTTCTATTATCTTGTTATAGTTAGATTTTTCTATTCTTTCAAAGCCTCCCACAAAGATTACAGGACACATCCCTGCCTTATTAGCCTCTAATATAACATAGTACTTTTACCACTTCCTGGACATTTTAAGAATCTTAGAAGACTAAATCCACATCCTTACTCCTGACTTATATATGTGTGTGTGTGTGTATTCTATTTTAAATCCCATTTAACATTATCATTCTACATAGTCAACATCCACTTAGATTTACCCAAATATTTAACCCATCCTTTGCTCTTCATTTCTTCTTCATCATCTGAACGTTCAAGAAAAACATGCTTTATCTGACATGATCCAAGCCATCAATGTTTTGCCTCATGATTTCTGCATCCAAAGTTTTACTTAAAACAATCTTTTCCTGCTCCTAGGTGACAAAGTTATCCTCCTATACTTTCTTCTACTAACTTGACAGTCTGCAGAGTAAATGAGATGGAGTTCCAAATAAGATGGAGTTCACTAATATTTTATATGTTCAGTTCCATCGACACAGAGGCAAAGAAATAAACTGGTCATTCTAGAATTGGTCTAAACCTACTTTCCATCCAGCCATAGCAACGGCTGAGCTCAAGTGAGGTAATAGTTATATAAACTCTAAGACTTGCTCTTTTGGTTTTCAGAGGTTATAAATCCACCCACAGATAGCAGTAGAGAATATAAACATTCTATGCCTCTGCCAGCAGAGAACCCCAATGTGCTCCTTAATTCCTATCAGAGTAGGAATGTAACTACTTCCCACTCTGAAAATCACAAAATGTACCAAGAGAAAGACTTTCATATAAAACATGAAACCACCCTAAACCACACAGCAGGAAGCAGTTTATCAATATAATACACTTGGAGACAACTTGAATGTCATGAGCTAACATATACTTCCACATATCCAAGCAGTGTCAGATTTCCCTAATAGTAACAGAGGTCTTCAAGATTTTTATTTGAAACAAATATTTGCAGACAAGTCATAGGAGAGAGAGCAAATGTTCCTCTGACAGTACACTTCCAGATGGAGGAAGAGCAAGGAAGATGGTGAGGTTATGTGTATATGCCATGGCCATTTTCTTTGACTTCCGAATCACAGAACCTATAAGAGAGATGCTCTGATGGTCAGCATTAGTTGAAAAGAAAAAAAAAAATCATAAAATCAAACAGGTGTTACACTGAAAGCCACAGCTCTCTCCTTTCTGGGTGATCTATTCACCTGAAAGGTGGGAACACCATTGCTTAGGATATGTGGTTCTTGGTCAGAGAAAAATAAAGCATTCTGAGACAAGAAAAGTGATCTTCCAAATGCCCCAGACTGCACCCTTCTCTACCTTGTACTACAGATAACAACAACTAATTTTGAGCTTATACCATATTCTAGTCACCATTCTGGGAGTTTTACAAGTATTACTCTTCTGATCCTGAAAACAACTCCAATGAGGTAAGTACTCTTATTATCTTCACTTTACAGATGAGGAAAATGAGGCTCAGAGCAGTAAATCTCCTATAGTTCTACAGCTAGGAAATACAAGACCCAGCATTTGAGCCCAAGCAGCCTGGTTTAAAGCTTAGACTTTTAACTATTATGCTGTATTTGCCTCTTCTACATTAATGTTTAACAATTAGAAAACCCATAAAGTACAACAGTATTTTTTAAATTTATAGAATAAATATTTGCATACCTTGTACTGTAAGCTCTGCTTGAGCTTCAATGGTCTCATTTCCATTATCAGCTATACAAAAATAAGTCCCAGCATCATCCTCGGTGACATCACTGATCTCCAGACTACCACCTGCCAGCAATACCAACCTTCCAGAGCTGCATTAAAAATATTGATATGTTTCAGAATGAGAAATACCTGAAAAACTCTCTACATAAAACAGATAAAACACTTATATTATTTATACAGCTACAGATGGACTGAGACCAATGTAAAATATCAGAATTTAATTTAGTCCAATTTACTTTGCTCATATTTCACATGCATAAATACAAATCAAAATGTTACAATGAATTATCTCTGACACTAATTATTCCCAAAGGGATACCACTGTTGTGACCAATTCCACTCCCCACAATCCATCCCTGCTTAACCACTCCACCCAGTTTTTTTTTTTTTCAAACTGTGTAATTCTGAAGTCTGGTTTCACTCTGAGAGGCACACCAGCACAGAGATGCCACATTCAAATGGCTAACAGAGAGGGCACATGTCAGATCAGAAACAGTAAGTCATGGGGTCACAGTGCCTACTGAAAGTTTCCAATGGTGGCTTGGCGAGGAAAGTGAGGAAAAGAGGAAGGGAAGGGAGAGAGAAGAATGGCTGACAGAGAGCAATTTCCTGGGTGTGGCAACAGGGCACAAACTGGCCACCAGCACACCATTATCAGCAAGGATGCTAAACATTACTGACCCAACTCTACATGACTTAAGTCTAGTTAAAGAGAATATATGTTTTTTAATTTTTGTGCAGGTAAAGTATTTTTATAAAGGAATTTTGCTATCTGTAACATAGTATGTTATATTGACATTATTTGAAGTAATCCCTGTAAAGTGAAATAGCTACCACAAGAAAATCTCATTTCCTGTCTCACTCCCTCCCTCCCTTTCTCTCTCTCTCAAAAAGTATATTTAAAATGAAAGCCAAATCATTCTGTAACATCAAGGAAGAAATCACAAATCAATATTCTGATGAAATTTTTATAAAGTTAATAAGTTTAGTTAAATTTAGAGACTTTGGAAAGTTACAATTTTACTTTTACTTTAAGGTTTTGTAACTAACTGGGCTTTCACAGGCAGGTTTTTCTTATAGCTCTTAATATTGTTATAGTTCCTGTCTGTATTTATGCTCAACAAAAACGTTCTGATTACAGTTGGCTTTTCATATGAATTGCTGATGGGGAAGAAAAATCAGAGGAAATCACTATTCAGTCTGGGCCACGCTTAAAACAATTCTCATTGTAAATAAAGCACTATACCGGCTTAAGTTTTAGTACACTGTGAATTTGAGTAATTAGTCTTCCTGAATCCAACAGGCAAGATTAAGTTTCTGTACTGAGAAGGGAAAACCAGAATCAGATGTTATGACTTCTCTAAGAAATACTCTGAAAGATTATGACTAAATTTATCAAGTGGCCTTCCAATGTGAGCTATCTTAATTACACCCTCAAATTACAACTTCATGTGATAGAGAAGCTAGACAACATACAACAGAAGAAAGCAAGAAAGAATGACTAGGATAAAAGAAACAGAGATAAAACAAGGTTTGGGTGCCTCACAAAACAAGGCAAATTTACAAAAATTAATATCCTATATTTTACTACTGGTCAAATTTTCTACTATGTTTCATAAATGGAAAACAATATTCATAAAGGGTAAATCAGCCCTACACACATATGACACCCAGCTGAGTGGAACATAATTTGAAACACTAGTTAGTGTAGTACTTTTGAAACTGAGGTACAGCAGTTTGTATCTAATAATTATACTAAGAAACATTCCTGATGCTTGCTATGCCTCATATTTGCCATGAGTACAAGAACAGTAGAAGTCAGTCTTTCTTAACGCAGCTGATTTTACTTTCCTTAAAAGAAGTCTGGGAGGAAGAATGTCCAACAGCTTCTCAGAAATGATTTAAGGTGTTCACGTAACATATGGTGGCTTATAGAACAAAGGAAATCAAGCTCTTAGAGCTCCAAAATTCAAAGATGCAGTCAATAGAGACAGTAAGTGGAAAAGTATTCATGGTCAACGGACCCAAACTGAGCACTGCTGGACATAAGGAGTGTATGTACACATATGTGTCTGAGTAACCAGGGGTCAGTTGAGGAGAATATGGTGTGCTAAGACCTATTTCTTTGGCCAAAGGGAAAGGCTTTTGAGCAGATTAATAACATGGTCAGATTTAGTGAAGAAACAAGTAGAAGTTGTAAAGTCACTGTAATGGAATTAAGGAGAAGAGGATGAATCATGGCAGTAACAACAGGGGTAAAGAGAAGGCATGAAATGATGGCCACTCTTTTGAAAAGCTGGATGATTAAGTTAAAGAAAGGAATTTATTCATTCGTTCAACAATTATTTTCTGGTGTCCCTATGTCTGTCAGGTAACAGCTGGGGTATTGAAAAAAGCAAAAACAAAATCAGTGCTGTCGTGCAATTCAGAGGGAAAGACGGACATAAAAAAATATAGTAACTCTACACAACGGTAGAGTTATGGGCTTCCCCGGTGGCTCAGACTGTAAAGAATCTGCCTCTAATGCAGGAGACCCGGGTTTGATCCTTGGGTCAGGTAGTTAGTTACCCTGGAAAAGGAAATGGTGACCCACTCCAGTATTCTTGCCTGGAGAATTCCATGGAGAATTCCATGGAGAGGAGCCTGACGGGCTACAGTCCAGGGGGTCACAAAGAGTTGGACACAACTGAGCAACTTTCACGACACAATGGTATACCAAAAGAATGTGTCAGAAAATCAGGAAGAGATTTTACTGATAAAAATGACCTTTGAGCTGAGATCTGAAGAATGAATAGGAACTAACTAATAATGAAAGGGAGGAAAAGATTTCAAAAAGCAAGTCTAGCACATGCAAAGGATTATGACAGAAAGGATCACAGTGTATCTGGGAATCAAAAAATCACAAATATGGCCAGATGTAAGAATTAAAAAAGCAAAAATATGAGGATGGAGCCAGACTACACAAGGCTCTGATAGCCATTTTAAGAATTTGAGTCCTTAACTTGAAAAAAATGGAAGTCCATTAAACATCTTTAAAAGTGGGTGGGAAGTTGACAATGATGTAGTTAAGACCTGGGCTTTGAAAAGACTGCTATGGCAAGGGCATTTGGAATGAGGCCAGAGTATATGTGAGGTTAAAAGGAGGCTACTGAAGTAACTGACATGACAATCAACAGCAGCTTGGAATAAGGTGTTAGCAACACATGTGAATTTCAGAGATATTTAGGAGGTAAAATGACAGATAGACTGGACGGAAAAGCTGAGGAAGAAGCACACTTCAAAAAAGACTCTTATGGTCAGGGCAGTAAATGTGAAGGGGAACACAGAAGAAAATGACTTGTTTAATTTAGGTTTTTATGTGCTGTTATTTGAGTGAGAGACAGGTAAGCTTTTAAGAGACAAAAGAGAGGTAGCCAATGGAGAGGAAAACATCTGAAAAGAGGATTCACAAAAGTACTAGAGAAAATGGAAAATAAAATCCAGAGCACAAAAGAACTTCTTAGACACCTCTTCCTCTAACACAGCAGGCGAGGAAGGGGAGGTGAAAGCTAATCTCACATACACTCTCATTTGTTTTTTTTCCTTAAACTTTTTAGAGGTACCTGTAGATTCACATGCAGGTCCAAGGAATAATACAGAGAGATCTCACGGACCCTTCACTTAGTTTCCCTCAACATAAGATCTTGTGAAACTAGAACTAGGAGACTGACATTCCCACCACCACAAGGATCCCTCCTGCTGCTCTTTTATAGCCATATCCACCTCCCTCCCTCTCCCACCTCCTCACTAACCCCTGGCAACCACTAACCTGTTCTCCACTCCGATAATTTTGGCATTTCATGAAGAATGTTACATAAATAGTCACATGGTATGCAACCTCTGGGGACTGGCTTTTTTCACTTAGCATCATTCTCTGGAGATTCATCGAGGTTGTTGCAATTGTCAATAGGTCATTCCCTTTATTGCTGAACAGTAATTCCAGAGTATGAATAGACATTGTTTACTTAATCCTTCACTCAATGAAAGACAGCTGGGTGGTTCCTAGTTTGGGGGTATTATGAATAAAGCTGCTATAAATATACACGTGCAGGTTTCTGTCTGAACCTAAGTTCGTTTTCAGTGGGATAAATGCCCAGGAATGTAAATGTTAGGTGATATGACAGTTGCAATAAATTTCTTCAGAAACTGTCAAACAGTTCTTCTGAGTGGCTGCATCACTTCACATTCCTACCAGCGATGCCAGAGTGATCTCGTTTCTCCACGTACTTGACAACATTTGGCATTGTCACTCTTTAGTATGCAGTGGTATGTTGTGGTTTTAGTTTGCACTTCCTAATGGCTAATGATACTAAACAACTTTTCCTGTGCTTATCTACCACCCGTACATCTTTTTTTTTTCCCATCTGTACATCTTTTTTGGTGAACCATCTATCTAAGATGACAGAGGATGAGATGGTTGGATGGCATCACCAACTCAAAGGACATGAATTTGAGTAAGCTCCGGGAGTTGGTGATGGACAGGGAAGCCTGGCGTGCTGCAGTCAAAGGGGTCGCAAAGAGTCGGACACCACTGAGTGACTGAACTGAACTATCTAACTCTTCTGTCTATGTTCTAACTGGATTATATACTTTTTTAAATACTGAGTTTTGAGATACCTTTACACATTTTAGATACTCCTCCTTTGTTTGATATATGATTGGCAAATATTTTGTCCCCACAAAAAATCTGTAGCTTTATCTTTTCATCCTCTTAACATGGTCTTTCACAGAGCAAAAGTTTTTAATTTTATTGTTTAGTTGCTAAGTCATGTCCTATTCCTTTGTGACCTCACGGACTGTAACCCTCCAGGTTCCTCTGTTCATAGTGTTTCCCAGGCAAGATAACACAGAATTTACATGCACCCAAAATGTGAGGCATTATAAAATTCTCATTATATAATATTAGCTCCAATTCTTTCCATTTTCCAGAAAGACTGTGTAAAATTGGTTCTAACTCTTTCAACACTGATAGAATTCTCCAATGAAGCTATGTGGACTTGCAGACTTTTGGGGAGAGTTTTAAAATTACAAATTTAATCTCCTTAAGAGT